CACTAAATCCCTCAAATACAAAAAGTATTGAAATCCTGTTGCAAAGTCTTTTTCTTAAACTCCTTTTATTCTAAATCCTTTTAATTCTGTCATATAACACTACAGCATTTATAAAAAGCTGAAAATCCTGACAAATCACACAATTAAAGTAATGAAAACTGTCCTTCCTGCCAACAAGGCACCACCTTACCTACAGCTCCATTTAGCTAAATGATATATGTTTTTTAAAAAAACCCTTCAGTTGTATACTTAAAACCAGGGAAAAAAAAATCTGTAACTAAATGAAATTTCAAACAAATCAACATTTGGAACTTTATGAAGCCAAAAGGTTATCCACACATAAGCTCAAAGCAGCTTATGTTCTATACTTCTGATGAAACTGTGAATAGATCTCTCTCGGGCCTGCTAAGGCCTCTCAATAATGCCAATAATAATAGTAACAACAGCAGCAGCACACCTTCATAAAGAATGAAAATGAAACCCCAGTGATTTTCACAGGAACTCAAAAGCTACTCAAACCTATGAAAAGTACCCTTGTTTCCCTTGAGTAAGAAATGTGCTGTATAAATGTCAAATTCTGACCTATTTAGCCACAGCATATATGCTTGACTGATAGTATTTTTCTGGTAGGTAATTCCACTGACCAAGTTCCATCACAGCCATTTAATAATGCAATGCATCTCCTCTGCAACTAAACCCCTCTTATTTCTACCTGTTACTTGAAATTTGTGTTGCATTTGTGGGCCTGTCCCACATCAGTGTAGTAACCAACTAGTATCTGGCAACATTAGGCCACGTGGCTGCCATCCACCACGTATGGTTTTCACTCTCTATTTTGCTGCTTCTTTTCAAGGAAAAACACAAATCTTTCTTAACATTATTCAATCTCTATATCAGTCTAATATAGTGAAAATTTAAGGTGTTTTCGTCTAAAGCATTGATGTGATATGGCCAGAACTGAACCAGTGGCACACGCGTCAGTCCACACTTCAAAGAAATTAGTATTTTAAAAGGTTGTGCTCAAAAATTCTTCCCTATAATATCTATAAAAGGCTTACTTGTCATGCCTGAGAATTCTGTTCTGTAATTTCTATAATCCACAGACATTAACATTCATTACATTGTAACAACCCACAGGACAGTTACAAAACACCCAAACTTCAATGCACACCTGCACGGCCCACTTCCACCAACGCAAACCTCGCTCCCAACTGCTGCTGCTTGTTCAGCTTGTAGGGCTACTTCCTCTGCTATACATACTATGCAATTATTTGGGCCTTCAGGGACTGAAAACCACTAAGCCACCCAAGTGGTTCAATATATACAAACCTCACATCTGCCTCCCTTTAGAAAGCAACCTAAATATTATAGTTCTTTTAAGTATACCTGCACACAAAGCTGAGTCAGCTTTTGAGGTTCAAATATTTTACCAAAAGCAAAGATGTAAGCAGTAGCACACAGAGAAATCTGCTGCAAAATTTACACTTTCAACAGTTTAGATTTTCAAATGCAAGACTCTCTGTCCCAATTAATTCTGGCTTTTCACGTTAATTTGAGTGCTCAACCCTTCATCCATAAGGTTCCTGTGGTTCACAGTGGCTTTAGGCACAGTACCTCTGACTTCTTTACTTGCTTTCTTATTTGCTTTTTTTCCCCCACTTATCAGTCAATTTGACTAAGCAGTCAAATTCATTGAGAGATATAGGACTACTCTGTCACCTTCTCTGCAAGCAGCATGATCTAGAAAATGGCAATAAATTAATTCAGTTCACTGAAGGAATTATTTTCATAACGCTGAGACACGGAAGCAGGTTTTACAGACTATGACTGATCTAAACTTCAACACACACTCCTGGCATCATGTACCCTTTAACCATGAAATACCACACACAACATGATTCCTGAAGATTTTCCTTGTTTGTTACCAACTTTTAAACTACACAAGCGGGCCTTAATAAATGGGATAGCACAAGGTAGGAATCAGCTATTGGGCCAGGCTTTTGTAAAATGACCTGATACAAGGAATGCAACAACATGAACCTAGCACTAAATCACTTCAGAAATGAGCAATATTCTGATTTTTGTAGGAAAAAGAAAAGCAAAGCTATCTGAATTTAGCATATTATTTTCTTAGCACTGATTTCTGAAGTATACATGCAACAGACCACAAAATTAAATCAAAACAAAATAAATTTTTAAAAATACTAGAAGAGTTCTGAATTTTTTATTAGCGACTCCATCAGTCAAAGAACATACAACTACTAGAGGAAACCTAAATAACTAACATTTTTTTATGTTTCTATAAATATCACAGAAATACTAATCAAAAGAGAAAAAGCATAAAATGAATGTAGGAATATCCAAGACATAATGCTTAATAAAACTCAGTTTCATTTCAATTCTACAAATACGTATCCACACATTCAGTTACCTCAGAAAAATGAGAAACCATCATCCAGAAGAACAGGTGAAAAATTAGAAAACACATTGAAGAAAGAATATGAATAACGAGGTTAGTGTGGCTAAATAAAGCCATTAGGTATTGTGTGAGAGGAAACCTAATATGGAGTAACTTGAGTAGCAGTGAGGACATCACAGATGTGAAACACATAAAATGCAGGAGGGAGTTAATACACCCTGATTCGAGCTCTGTTTCACATCTACCAAAATCTTTTCTTCCTTCTAATAATCACAAAGTCACACCAATTTGTCTTCAATCACATCTTTGCATGTTCATTTTATCTGAAGAGACAGAAAAATCCAGAGCACAGCTAAGCAAGCACCTGCATACATATAATTAAGTACTAAACCAAATCACAGCCTACAGGTTTGGAAGCTAGGCAAGTTAAAAAGCCATGCCAACCAGGCAGCCCAGCAGATAATGCAGTATGTGGCATGCAAAGTGCCAGGACTCAGTATTCTTAGACTGACAACGTCCAGACAGAGATTTCCTCATATTCTGAGTATTAGTTATGCAACTTTATCTTCTCTCTGAAGCCTGAAATTTGGTCACAGCGTAAACCTCCAGTCTCCAAAAAGGCCATTTATATTGCAAGCTGCAGAAAATAAAGCCATTGAAGGCAGTAGTAGATATTCTCTGTCCACAGAGAAGAGTTAATGTCTACGTTTTTTGGTGCTATTTATGGAAATCTCCCAGTTCTTTACAGACATCTTATCTAGGCTGCAGACCAACCATGCCACGGCCACTGAGACATCAAAGTGCTGCAGAGCTGGGCCAGGTCAGGTCTTGCCTGGTTTGTTAGCTCAGACAAACCCCTGCAGGAACACTGTGGTGGAGCCGCCAGGTCAGGCTGGTTCCAGGAGCCACTGAACTGCTCTAGCATGGCACTCAGCCTGAACTAATAAACCTCACTGGATCTGAGCTGGCAGTGTGCAAGGCCAGCTCCAGATACTGCACCACGTTCCTGCTGCTAGGGCCACTTATAACCTGCTGCATCAGATTTGAGGAGGTCTCCTTTGTAGTAAGCGCACATGAAATGAGCCTCTATGAAGTAACTCTCTGGAAACAATGCTTTCTTATGCTATGAAGCATATGATGCAACAGAGGATCTAACATCAAAGGACTACAGTATTTTAACAAAATAGTTAACAAACTAAGTTCTGCTACTGTACAGTCACCAAGTTAAAACCATGAGCTTTCCTTTCACACCTGGGAATGAGCTTCTTATCACAAACTAAGATCTGTTTCTAGGAACGTGCCAAATCCGTCTACCAAGAGAGTCCTATTTTCAATAATTCCCTTTTTACAGCTTTACAGTAAAAGAGTGTTTGAGCTTACTGATGGTAATCAGCTTCTCCTTTACAAATTCCTTTTATTTTGTTCAGAATCATTAAAGCTCATGTGTTAGTTATCTAAGGCCTCTTATTACAGCTTTACTTTTATCTGATTCCAGATACTGGTCAAAGATACATTCATGTACTTTTAATCAAAGATTTATTTAAACCAAGCCATGTAAAAAGAGACCAAAACATGTTTTTAAAAGGTTTGGCTTAATTTAATATGAGCTAATTTGAATAGTTTTCTAATGTAGCAACTAACATTGTTAGATGCTAAAAATATACAGTTAGAGACAGAAAGACAGTAAATGCTTGAAGGAGTTCCTAAGCAGCCTAACTTACTAGAATGAAAAAAAATCATACTACTATTCTACTATCAGAAGAAACAACTTATAGGTTCTTCAATTAATTGGCTTCATATTAATTTCCATTTACACTTTTCTTTCTCTTCATTTTTTCCTCTGAGAGAGGAAGAGGAATAGTAATCCATTATCTAACAACATACAGAACAATTTTAAAAAAAGCACATCAGGAATTAGGCAGTGTTCCCATAAACAGAATAAAAAGCACACCATGCTAGTGAAGTGTTTTGCTTTAAGTTACTTTAATCTATAAGGGAGTTACAGAACCACATACACTCATACTTTGTATGCTCCTCTGCTCAGGAAATCACTGAGACAACATAAAATATGTCCATTAAACCTTTAACTGCCTTCATTATTTCCTTTGAAATACCTGAAATTATTATAACATATTATTTTTGTAATAACTTAGACTTTAGTCTGCATCATTTTAATTCACTAATTAATTCATAATATACTAAAATTTATAATCCAGTGTAATCCAAAAAGTTTGGTCACACTAGAAGTACATTCTTTTCACCTGCAAAGTACAAGATAATAAATGTTTCCAAACAAAACTGTTAATGTCTCCATAGTGATCTCTGAGCACAGATAAACCCAGATATCCTCTAAACTACAAAGGAAGCAGCATCAAAGCTAAAATATGAAGATGAATCTGAAGAAAGCATAGAGCAAGAGGGGAAAAAAAGAAGTAGTAAATAATACTCCCAGAAAGCTATTATGAGGGTGACAGTTTAAAATTAATGGAAAAATCTCTAAATCAGGCTACAGTGATGATTTGGATAATTTTATTTTTTTTTAAATTATGATTGCTTATAAACTGTATAAATCAATACTTACTGATTTGTGGAGCTGGCAAAATCCGTGCAGCTCGAACTGGACCATGGCGGACAGAAAAAAGCTCCTGAGCTTCCCCACTGATCTGCAAAAGACATGGATTATGAACATACAGCATAAAAAAATATATTATATACTTATATAAATATCAGGTAGATTAGAAAATAGGTAGAAAGACACTACACAAAAGGTAAGTTGGAAAGTATGTTGCTAAGACACTGCCTGTCTAAGCAACCCCCCACAATTTCTCCAAAAGAGAATATATCTTAGAAGCCTTGAATGACAAATGGCAGCAGCAAAGGTGGCCTGCCCCTAAAAATGGTGCCTTAAGACTGGGAATGAGAGCCCAGCACTATCTCCTATTAATGACCACACACATTTTAGAAGAAACAAGACTTCAAGTTGACTGCCGACTGAAATTCACCAAAAAAAGTCAGAGAATCTGAAATACTGGTACAATCCATATTCTCCAGGTGTGAAAATAATGTTTAAAAACAGAGGGTCAAACTAATTAAGTTTGTTCACTAATGGCAATCTTGAAAAGATTAAAGCGGAAGTAGTTAAGAAGAATTCTCAGACTTCCTGTGAATGGTCAGTCAGAATGAATTTTCTTAAGTGCCTGGTAATGGGTCTGGGATGGAACGTCAAACTTTGGGAAAATGGCAAACATTATGAAGCTGATTTCCAAATAACCAACAACTTAAAACAGATGTAATGAGACTAAGAACATAGCCAACACGTTGGCATAAAGTTTTGCCAAACAAGCAGTTTACAGTATCAGAAGTGAATGCGATTTGGGACCAGGTTCTTCTGAATCAATAATACAAGTTAAAATGGCATTTGAAAAAGTTATGGCTGTTCCCATTTCTTTCCTCACTTCAGCTCACACTTTCAGAAAGTTAAAACAGGACTACTGTTTGACCAACAATTCCTAAATATCCTATATTCAGACTCCTAGTTTACTTCCAATCTTAACCCCAAGCCTGACTATCACTGCTTAAGATAAATGGGTAGAACGAAACCTACCCTACTGAAGCACAAGATTACTCTGAAATCACAAGGTTTTGTTTGGTTTTTGGGGTTTTTTTTTTGTTCGTTTGTTTTGTGTGTGTGTGTGTGTGTGCACACGTGTGTTTGGTTTTCGTTTTTTTTTACCCATTTTACACACAAACATTTACTCCAGAGGCAGCCCACCATCCTGTACACAGTACCTAAACACAGAGCAGAGGAACTACTGCTTTTCCATATGACACCCCCAGAATAACATCCAAGCTACACCAATGTGGGGAAATAATATTCTCAGCCATTGTAGATTTGCAGACAGCCAGCAGTTCCACACTGGTATGAATCAACATCCCTGTTAGCAAGGGGATCAGAATTATTCCTGATGGACACCCCAGTTTTGAAACCATAACCAATATGAGAATTAATGCCTTAGTCTATCCTACTCTTGATTTTATTAGGCAGGTGTTCCAATCATAGCAGATTCTCCTGAGCATCGTCTAAACAACAGAATATCATAATAATCCAGTCTGGGACAGGTAGAGGCCTCTGCTCCAAAGAGCCTACTGACCAGATTCTGTACAACACAAAAGAATGACACCAGGAATCAGCTCAGTAAAGGTTTGCTGATTGCTTTTAATGGATCGTGTGTTTGGAGGACAGTGTGGAAAAAAACCTAGGTAACATCTGCATCAAGGAAAGACAGCTTGGAAAAAAAGTAGAGTGCAGCTAAGCAGAAAATGAGAAAAATTAAAAAGAGAGAAAACAATAAAGAGATGAAAAAAGACTAAGACAGTAGCACGCTTTCTGTCCACTGGAACACACTAGCTCTATGAAAAGAGAAAGGAGGAAATGGAGAAGAAAAAAGTAAAGCTTTGGAATTATTATTATTGGCAATTAAAGACTTTTTCCCCCAGATCATGAAAATGCTGTTTCACATGTGTATTGCACATCAACAGCTATGAATGAAGAGAACTAGCATAACACCAGCATGGAAGAAATGATTCACAGAAAATAATCCAGCCCAACTCAGACACCTCCTTCTACTTTCTAACTACGCCAGCACATCATCTCTAACTCCAATCTACTTCAAATAAAGTTACAGTCCCAAAAGTAAGATACACTGAGAAGGCCAAACCTCCTTAACTCACTTTCTGCTCTTAAACACACTCAACTCCAGAGAGCATGTTTGTTCAGCCTCTCATGCCAATACCTGGTAGAGCTTAAAGTTGAGACTGTCAAAGAAAAACCTAAAATGTACAAATACACATGAAGTTTATTTGTACTTCAGCACCTAACATGAAAATCTCAGCCCAGCTCTGCTCATGCATATAAGGCATTTACTTTTCAATAATTAATAATCATTATTTGAAAGATGACTATTTCATCACTTTGTAGAGGTTAAATGGACACACCAAAGCCACAGAATCTGGCAGGGACACAGACAGTGACACCGTAATGTTACACTGCAGTGTAACAGGTCCTCTCCTCTCAGGCTGTGTAGGTTGTCTTTTTTCCCCAGAAAAGGTGAAACTTCACAGAACTAAGAAAAAAAAGCAAGTAGATGTTCAGGCAGCTTCAGCTATCTGTACAGCTCATGTACTTAGCAGTTGCTGACTCCTGAGAGCCAAAAATGAGCAAATTTTAAGGCTACTGCAGATTTTATAATGTGAACACAAGATGCCACCCAACCACTGGCATCTCATTCATAAAGAAAAAGCCAAATTCAGGAAAAGGCACAAAACAGTTTAAAAAAATATGAGCATAACACTACAGCATGGATCAAATCAAAACACTAATACTTAATTTACCATAGCTTCATAAAACACAAATTTTCTTAAAGGATTTTTCTTTTTAATTTGTGTGTCCTCTATAGGAACAGGAAACCACAGAAGGTGTTGGACTTTGTTGAGTACCATGAAGTAGTAGGAGCTTGGTTGTTCCTCTGGTTTGCTCTGCATTGAAAAATGCACTAGGGCTTTAGAGTTCAAGACTTTCTTCAACTTATGATTAACTTCTTCTTAAACACTACCACCAGTAGAAGATTCTGCTATTTGTAGTCTTATAAAATCTTGAATTAATTGCAGTTGATGCTAATGTCCTTCATTTATCTATGGAAAACATAAATCTTTATTACCACTGCTGATGCCACACTTATCAATTTTGACTGAAAGCACCATCTTCAGGGTAGAGAGACCTGAATGTATAGCTTGGCCTTCCTGTCAGTTCAGGCACTATCTCACTCCTGAGAGAGCCAACACAGCCAGCCAACCCCTCCTGTGGATGGGACACTTATCCCACGAGGAACTCAAGTGGGACAAGGAAGTCCATTTAACAGAAGCCCAGCTCACAACTTTGTCACTGCCAGTTTGGGTGAGATGTGGGCTGGCAAGTTGAAGTAAAAGGCTCCACATCCCATTACCAGTCCCTTGAGCTACACAGTCTCACAAGAAGAGACAAAATATAAATAGACTTCATGAACTGAAAACAGAGCTCTAAATTCTTCAGAAAGCACCTGTAAAGAAAGTAGCCTGTGGTTGCCATATTGGATTCGATCCAGCTAAGTAGCAAGTCCCTGTGGCAGCTTTCAAAGCTCTACAAAGTTTTTCTTTCCCATTCCAGAAGCCAAGATTATTTCCAAACAGGTTTCAAGAATTGAATATTGAGCTATAAAAGCAGCATCAGGTACTGTTCCTATGAAAGAGTGAATCCAAAATGACAGCTCCAAGCCAGTCTGATAAAACATCTCAGCTTTCCCAGTGTCTGATATCAAACCACAAGCCCCAGACCTACATGGAAGCTGCAGGCAAAGAACACACTGATTCAAAACCTGGCCCCCAGTGAAGTCTTCATCACTCTCTTCCAATAATGACAGATTGAAAGAGGAAGAACTCCTCTCTCCTCCACTTAGACGTCTTGAGCTACTGCTTAAAATACGACAGACCAGAAATCTGGAGCACTGGTTAATTTTTGATGACAGAGCTTTATTGTTTGGAGTGTACCAGTTTGCACCCATAAAAAAAAAACAGGACAATGGAAGTTTTGTTCACACTAAGGATAACTAATAGTTTCCAACCATAGAAAATGGTTTTCACGTGGTGAAAAAAAAAGAAGTCAAACATACACCAAACTGAAACAAAATTGAATTCAAAACTCAATGCTTAAACTACTGTGCAACTATATGAAAGGAAACTGCTTGTATACTAAAAAGCTGTCACAGAGCACAGGGCAAACATCAGGGGGGGTTATTCCAGATACTCTGATGTGTTTACAGATATCATGATATGATGCTATGACAATAACCAACTGATAGATTCTGACACAAAATACCGTTTGATGCCACTATGTTGGGTTAAAGGCTACCTACTACCAGTCATCTCACTACTGAGAGACTAAGGGCTGTAGGTAAAAGGACAATTTTTTTTCACTTTAGCTTTTAAATTCAGTCTGCTTTTTCATTCAAAACAAGATACAGTAATTATCTAGAGACAGGGGGGGGTTATTCAAGATACTCTGATGTGTTTTAAATATGATACAGATATCATGATATGATGCTATGACAATAACCAACTGATAGATTCTGACACAAAATACCGTTTGATGCCACTATGTTGGGTTAAAGGCTACCTACTACCAGTCATCTCACTACTGAGAGACTAAGGGCTGTAGGTAAAAGGACAATTTTTTTTCACTTTAGCTTTTAAATTCAGTCTGCTTTTTCATTCAAAACAAGATACAGTAATTATCTAGAGATTATTAGAATTTAGATGCTCAATGAATGCTACAGAAGTCTACCTCAGTGACTGAATTAAGTACGAAATCACACCTCACATTTAAAATTATGACAGCACTAATGGAATATAAAAAACAATGAAAGCTTCAAACAGTTTTTGTTAGTTTCCTCAATGCTCTCACTTTATTTGTCATACATTTTGGGGAGTTTTAGCATTTAACTTTTCCAGGTGGCTAACACAAGCCTCAACATTGGTGTACCCTCTCTCAGGATGGGTCTGGACAGGGGAAGGATCACAGCTTCCTATGTGCTAAGTGACCAGGCCTTTTCCCAGCTCTAAAAGGGGCAAGAAACACATAGGAGAAAGAATTACAAAGATGACACGGAAATCCCAGCAGACAGTGGTTTTGATGAACAGCTGAGAAAACAAAATAGAACTGCCATGTCCAACATACCATACACATCCATCTATACACCCACAAACACACATTGTCTGCTGTACAAGTGCAGGTTTAACAACTTAAAAATCATACTATTACTGACAGGAGCATTTAAAGAAACTTAAGGTGTGGCAGTGGAGAAAAGGCAGGGTGTGATGCCATCATTGTCCAATGACTCCTCTGCATTCCAGAGGTCTCCACGCTGAAGTCACCTACCATATGGGCTGACACATCCCATCAGACTGCAGCAGCAGCATCATACCACAGCCTTTAGGTATTCTCCCTAAATATACATCTGTGCTTGTTATTAAAAGTTTCCTTTGGTAGTTCCTACTTGATTCAACTCAAGCTTGACCACTCTTTTTTAATTGTAAGACGAACCATTAAATTAAGATGATTTTTCTACTTCTGAAACTTCCAGCATACAATGAAGAAAAAAATGATCTGCCACAAAACCAGCCAACATGCATTTCCTTGAACAGGAACATCTAGAACAGATACTTGGAAACCACATCAGGCAGAAATCAGTTCCAATTGTATTTGAAACATGAAACTGGGAGCAAGGGGAAAAACAAATTCCAAATAAAACACAAAACTACACTGCACAATTATCAAATAGGAACTTCTCCTACTTTTGTGCATTCCCAGATTTCTCCCCACTTAGCGAGGCATATTTTAAGAACGCTTTTAACCTTCCCACCCCCATTTCAAAACAAAGATCAAAGAAAAGTCGTTTGGATGGACACCTTCCACTTCTTATGCAATACAGATTTAGACGCTGCACTTCAAAACCCCAGCCGTGACTTCAGCACCCAGCAGTCCAAACATTATTTCAGCCCTTTGAAGCAGCCCTAATGGTATCTTCCATTTGCAAGTAACACTTCTGTAGTCAAAGATCTTACTCCAAGGAGATGTTAATGTGAAACCACTCAGACTGCAAAGAGACACACACTCCTGGAGGCAGACTGCAGAGGTGTTTAGAAGTCAATGTAACACCATTACGGAGAGTGTCAGCTTAGAAGCTGTCATAAACACTTCATAATCACTCAGACACAAACTGGACTGCCTGCAACACATTACTTTATTAAGTGCTGAATAGAGGTTCAATTGTATGAATAAAAAGCACAATGCCACAGATAATAGCTTTACTGAGTAGATTTTCACATTTATGTCACACTGTTGCTTTTTCAGATTGAAAGGTTTTTAAACTATAGAGATCAGGGTCTTTTTATTTTCCTTAACTGGAATAACATTGCTTAATTACAACATAAATACTCAGCAAGATCAAGAAGAAACACAAAAAAGTGTTGCCAAATAAACTCTAAATATTTAAGTCAGTCACCTAACTGCCAGAATTTATTTTACTCAGACTAAGTAAGCAAAAAAAAAAAAATGAGATAAAGGAACAACAATGTGAATAAAAAAAAAAATTATCAGGTTATGTTACCTCCAAATTTGTTGGATACACAAATCCCACCCTGAAAAGGTATATAAAATTGATGTTAAAGACTATCATGCTTTTGCCAAGAAAGGTTGAACCAGACGATCCTTGAGGTCCCTTCCAACCTGGGACTCTACAATTCTGAGAAACTCTCCAAGACCCATCTTACTAACAGATGAACCATTCCAAAACTGAAATTATACCAATACACACAAAGTGCAGAGGTCAAAGCTGTACCTCCCTTGATGTGCTGTCAGAATTCCACAGAATATACAAATGAAGGGCTGACAAAGCAATGCAGTATCTCTACAGCTGATGTTCTTAAGATGGATGATAAAATATTTCCACATGGGGCATTTTTTCCATTTCACTGGACTTTCCCCCACCCACTAAAAATACCTCTGCAAAAAATGAACGACACTAGGAGAAACTCTCCTGCGATTTTATTTTCCTTATTTTTCTTAAAATATTAAATACTATCAAAATCTAGCAATTATGAAGAAGTTAAATACACTTGGGGGAAAAAGGCAACCTGGCTGTAGCATCCTGCTGGAAAAGAAGGTAACACCAGGCACTCCGTGGCCTAACCTGTGGTGTATTCAGAGACAAGGGGGAGGGTAAAAGGGGGGGAAGAAAAGAAAAATCCCACCCATAAACCAAGAAGAATCTCTTCCCCACTAGGAAACATGAAGGAACCACCTTGTTCTACCTGCCTGACAGCACCAGTGAACACACTCCACATAAGCCAGGATAAACAAAGTAGTTGAAGTTGTTGTTTGTAACCTCCATCCCCTTACTTCCTGTCTCCTGCAGCACACCACGGGGTATGAGGTTAACTGAAGATTGTTAACGCAGAACAGGTTACAACAAGGTAACCTCTTCACACAGCAAAGAACTGAGTCTCCTTTCATTCTTACTTTCTTTAAACATTCAAGATCCCATCTCACAACCAATTTCTCGAGGGCATTGCTACAGGTAGCTCTGAGGGAGGCACTCACACAGACCCAGACAGTCACTCAGGAGGGATGCTCAGAACTCCCACCCACCACAAAGCAAGGGCAGGCCATGCAGACACACACAGAGGGAAAAGCCATCTCTGCTAGACACAAAGCTGTCCTTATCATGGAGTGGTACTCCCATCCATTTTCAGAAAACACACATCCGTTTGCGTAAGAACATTTCAGCAG